CACCATCCACACCATCATCACCACTACCACCATTATCATCATTACCATCATCATCATCATCATCAACACCAACACCATCAACATCATCATCATCATCATCACCACTACCACCATCACCAACAACATCACCATCACCAACAACATCACCAGCATCTTCTAATCATCCTCATTGTCACTCAGAATCATTATCATCATTTTTTACCTCGTTATTTGCACCATTTATCTCATCCTCATGTTCTTTCCTCGCTTCTTCCAGTTGCTGTAGATAAACCTTGATCTCTCTCTGACATTCAGCCAGGGATGCCTGTAAGTGTTTCATCTGTTTAGTAGCGTCGTTTGCTTGACTCTCCATCTCACCGAACTTCTGATTATGCAGTTCGCTCTGTTGTTCACTTTTTTCTAACTTCTCAGCGTGTTCTTTTAGATTTCGTTCGAGCTGTTCGGCGATAGAGTTTCTTAGTTGGAGCTGTTGACGTGTTCCTGGGGGAGATATACACAGTTATTCATGTCAAGCCAAAGTTCTCCTCACCCCCCACCCCCAAGAAGATATTTGTTGACGTGTTCCTGGGGGAGATACACACAGTTATTCATGTCAAGCCAAAGTTCTCCTTACCCCCACCCCCAAGGAGATATTTTTAACAATAAAAAGCCAAACTTGACTGATCACGAAACAATGGTTTCAAGTCGGGAAAGGTCTATTGCAACGTTTTCTCGAATGCAAAGCATACATGAAGAGATTAACTGCATTGAGTTGTCGTCTACACTTGTTAGTGTCTGCCCGTATATGTGATAGTTCGATTTTAAACACATGACGTAATATGTAGTCCTTTTTTCTTCCTTTCTTTCTTTCTTTTTCTTTCCTTTCTTATTATTTCCTTTTTTCGCTTTCTATTTAGTTTCTCTTTTTTCTTTCTTTCTTTTTCCCTGTACTAACTGGTTGATCTGCTTGGTCTGATTTTACGAAATATTACCAACTGGACGTGAATATGCTGTAGAATAATTATCAGGACCATATAGTGTTTACCTGTTAACTCAGTCTCCAGCTGGATAACCACGACACTCTTGTCTTCAAGTTTCTTTTGAATCTACGACAATGAAACACGTTCAATTAGCATATAATAGATCATCTACCCTTGATCCAGACTGACGGTATATAAGCTGAGATTACCACCTTCCAGTCTACACCATCGCCTGATGAAAACTAGCAGTAGCAGTAGAAACGTTGCGGTACTCTCGACTGCCACAATCGTGAGACAAATGAATAAGTATATTCTTTGATTTTTATCCACGATGAATAATATTGGCTATTTTACTTGATCTACCTTATTGTTACCAAGCAACGAGTCAAGAGTCTTTCATAACCTAGGGCTGGTTGCGAACAAGAAAAGAAAATAATTGGGTTTCCTGTGCCACGTCTATCTGATTCGGTTTTCTTTCTGGTTTTTAGTCTCTCTCGTTAGAGTATTGGCACAGGAACACCAATCTTTATCTCTGGTTCTTAAGTGTTCTAGCCATTTACTTTCTCATTTCCAGTCTCTCTTATAATATGAACACAGGGATCCCAGTCTTTACCTGTTCTCAGTCTCTCTCTTTAGACTATCAGCAATGGGACTCCATCCTTACCGCTGTTTCATTTGCAGGCTCTCTCGTCCGAATATCAACACAGGGGACCCAGTCCTTACCTGTTCTATTTGTTCTTGTAGTTCATCACAGTGTTCTGCGTGTAAGCCCTTCATCTTCTCAATCAGAGTTGCAGCATCTTGTAACTCTCTGTTCTTTCCACTCAGCGCTTCTTCCAGTTCATCGATTTTATCAATTTTTCCTCTCAATTCATCTTGGATTTCCTTCACCTTGTCCGCTCTATGACTTTGTTCGGAGAACTTGCTGTCTAATTGTCTTTCAAGTTGATTGATTTGCGCCTCCTTTTGTCGAAGCTACGAGAGAAAAAAATATATAACTAATGAATGAACTGAAAAGTTAGAAAAAAAGAGAAGTAAAATGAATATTAGAGGACGTACAAACAATTTTAAAGCCAAACACTTAGAGCTGATGCAATTAAACCGTGAAATAAAATCAAACTAAATACTAACAAGTAGTAGCTATTTAATGACTAATAGCTGCTATCGCTCAACCAGAACATTCATCATACAAAGACAAATACACAAGAGACCATTTGTGTCTTTTGTTTAATGAATGTTCTGGTTGAGTAATAGTGACTATTAGTCACTAAATAGATACTATTAGTTAGTATTTAGTTTGATTTTATTTCACGGTTTAATTGCATCCGCTCTAGTTAAAGAAAAGACACGAATAAGTAAATATAAACGATTTCAATTTCCCTTCATTTTGTCAAAATACTAAAAGATAGAAGATATCAAAATAATGAATGGACGAAAAAATTAGAAAAGAAAAAATAAAGGAAAAAAAAAACCAGAAGCGCATGAAAAAATGGCCTGAAAATTAAATGGAAAATAGAAGAATAAAAGAAAGGCAAACGAAAATTAAAGAAAAGAGAAGGAAATTCAGTAAACTCACCTCCCTCAGTAAGTCGTTCACTTCTGCTACCTTCTCCTCCAAGTTCTTCTGGACATCTACAATTCTCAAATTTCTTTGTCCAAGTTTTCCTTCAAGTGATGCGATATGTGACATCTTATCGGCTAGTCGTTCTTCTAACTGGATGTTCTGCATAGAGTATCGAGATATCTCATCCTCGAGTCGAGTAACTGTTTGTTCGAGTTCGTGCTGTTTGCGATCCCCCATTCGACTTCGTTCTACAATGGCGGACAGTTCTGATCGAAGACCATCCATGGTCCCACCGTCACTGCTTAAACCTTAATGCAACAACGCCAGGAGATAAATAAGATACCATAATTTCCATGAATATTTTCAAGGCTAAATCTTTTTGTTTTTCAGCCTCTATGTTACAGGATATCAGAAAGGTAACTTATAAACGAGGCTAAACCTGTGTAAATGAGTTTGTGTTCTTGAGAACTATCAAAATGCATAATTTTTCTGACAGGTTTTTGACTGGTTAAAACACAAAAGCAAAGCATTATGTAAAATTGGCGAATACGGGATTTTCCCCACAATACCTAAGCTGTGGGATGTCCCGTGTCCCGCAACACCCTTATATTAGTTACGGGATCCAATATAAGATTTTTCCCGCTTCCCGCAATGCCCCCCTAAGTTACGGGATTTGTCCCGCAACACCCCCATCTACGGGATCCTATACGGGTTTTGTCCCGTAACACCCCCATCTACGGGATCTTATAAGGGATTTGTCCCGCAACACCCCCATCTACGGGATCCTATACGGGTTTTGTCCCGTGACTCACCAGCTATATGTTTCTGTTGAGCTGCTGCTCTTGCCACAGCACTCGCTTGTAGTTTCTGAATCTCTGCCTCCTTCATAGCGAGCTTGAGCTTCAGATCTGCTACTAATGCTCTGGTTTTACCAGGACTGCTGGGCGTGTGTCCTTCGCCGTCCATCAAGACATCTCCATTTAGATAACTACCATCACTGCCTGGGCTGCTATTGCTGTATCCATTGACCCTCTGGTGGCTGTTGTATATTCCACTGTCACTGGTCTAGTTGAGAAAACAAAAACAAAACATTAGATGATCATTTCATGATAAATGATTATAGATGTGATAAAGAGGGTGTGGCAACATGTGCTCAACATTTGTGACATTCACGTGCCCCAAAATCACTTCTGCACTATACTCGTAATTTATACACACAAAACACAGATACAACAATACGTTGAGAGTACATATTAGTTAAAATTCATTGTAGAGGGCGTGGCATTCACGTGTTCAATATATTCTAACATATACTCACAGAGGGCGTGGCATTCACGAGTTCAATATATTCTAATACATACTCACAGAGGGCGTGACATTCACGTGTTCAATATATTCTAATGCATACTCACAGAGGGCGTGGCATTCACGTGTTCAATATATTCTAATACATACTCACAGAGGGCGTGACATTCACGTGTTCAATATATTCTAATACATACTCAGAGGGCGTGGCATTCACGTGTTCAATATATTCTAATACATACTCA